ATTGATTGGCGACATCCTTAGTGGGGGTGGTGGTACTGGCTTCCATGATCACCATATTGTCTTTCTCCTTCATCCTCATGCATAGAGATAAGGGTGGAGGGGGAACACGTGAGCTCCCTGCGTGCTCAGGAGGGACTGTTGGGCGAGAGGCACCCCGGTGTGGCCTTAAGGCATTCTGGCGAGGGACCTCATGGTGAAGAGTTGCCTGACGCCCAGAAGAGATGGGTTGCTGCTCCTCTCCTATTGGAAGGAGTGGGGCTCCTCCCATGGGGTGAGGGGCGACGCCTCCCCGGTCAAGCAGCAACTAAATGATCTGCTGATTTTTGTTTACCACCAGCTGCATGGTTTATAGAAGTTGTTGTTTGACAACAGGGGTCACCATAACAGATGGTTCTGAGGGTGCGAGGGGAGGCGGAGCCTCTTCTCGGTGGGCCGATTTGTTGTCTCCTAGTTACTGACTCATTGATCGGATCATGATTACCATAGATTAAAGAGAGTAGAAAACCTAGTCAGTTCCCATAGACGGCGCCAAACTGATGATGCACAAATTGGTATTGCGCAAAATCAACAGTCAAGTATATGTAAGGGTGTAGTTAATGAACGATAAATAAGATGATCAATAGCAAAACGGTAAATAAGAGTCAACACAAAGATTTATAGTGGTTCGGTCAGAGTGACCTACTCTACTCTTGAGAACGGTAGCGGTAGACAGTGTTCTTTATTGATGAATAAAAGTCACCGAGAGAGTATTCTCCAGGGGAATTACAATGCTTTGGGAGAGAAGAGCAATGTGTGCAGAGAGTTGTGTAGAGGTTTCAAGGTGATGCCCTTTATGTGAAGATGGCTTACATTATATAGGTTTGGTGATGCGGTCACTACTTTTTAGTAAGTACAGTTATAGTAGAATTAGATCTTTGTAATGTGTATCTTGATATTCTTTCTCTCATTCTCCTATCCCTTCGGAGGAATATCCTGAGCTAGATTGAATTGGCAAGGAGAGGAGGATACCACTGAGGTGGTGTTTGAGGAAGAGAGAGTGTGGAGCAGAGAGGAGACAGGGGTCCCCTTGGGGTGGCCTCCTTGGGCATTGGCATCTCAGTATCCCTTTGGGCCTGGCTTGGTTGATTTGGATTCCCTTGTTTTATTGGTCCTGGCCCAATTAATTTTGGGCTCATCAAAAATCTTTGTGGTTGGTGTTTATTTATTAGTTTTAAAGCAAAAAAGAGGGGAAAAACCATGGGAAAAGGTTTATGAGGACTATTAGTGGTCAAAATCAGTTCAAGTGTGTGACGTTTAAATTATCGTAAAGTAATGCTCTGTTTTGTAGGAATGATGGAAAGTAAGAAGGATAGAAAGTCGGAGGGATATACTTTTTATCATTCAAGGATAGAAAGTAAGAATGATACAATTTCCTTCCTTTGTGTTTGGTTGAATGAATGGAAAATAAAAATGATTAATTTTTTTTTTCTAGTTAAAATAGAGGTGACAATCGAGTTTTGTTGTGTCAGATTCGTGTTGAGTCATAAAATTTTGAGTTTTTTAAATTTTTCGTTCACGTGTCAGATTATTTTCAAGTTTGTGTCAACTTATAATCAAGTTCGTGTCATNTGACGTTTAAATTATCGTAAAGTAATGCTCTGTTTTGTAGGAATGATGGAAAGTAAGAACGATAGAAAGTAGGAGGGATATACTTTTTATCATTCAAGGATAGAAAGTAAGAATGATACAATTTCATTCATTTGTGTTTGGTTGAATGAATGGAAAATAAAAATGATTAATTTTTTTTTTCTAGTTAAAATAGAGGTGACAATCGAGTTTTGTTGTGTCAGATTCGTGTTGAGTCATAAAATTTTGAGTTTTTTAAATTTTTCGTTCACGTGTCAGATTATTTTCAAGTTTGTGTCAACTTATAATCAAGTTCGTGTCATGTCATTGTGTTCAATCGAAAATTTCACCACTAGATAAGATGAAAAAAATATTTTTTTTAATTTAAAATTTTTATTCTATTATTTATTTATTTATTTTCAAATTTTTTTTAATGTTTTTAATATATATATATATACATACACGTATACATATTTTATCATTTTATTTTTATATAAAATTAATGTATACATAATATATAAACAAATAAGATACATCTCAACACAAATAATTAACTTTTCATTCACTTTCTTTCCGATTTTGGAGAGATTGATTTTGGTGAGTTGGAAGAAAAGTTAATCCATCAACTTTTCCATCGTTCGTATTTTCCTTCCTTACAAAACATGATATTTTATTTATCTCTCCAACTTTCTATCTTCCAACTTTCCATTTTTCTAGTTTTCCATTATACCAAACGAAACATAAGTCCATTTAGGAAATACTAAGCTACTGAATGTTTGGCTTGAGGTATATCCAAGGGAAGGTTTCTTATTTTTAGTAGGGTAAAATATATACTTGGTCCTCAAATTATATTTTTTATGTGTCAGTTTGGTCTTTAATTTTTAAATTCTATTAATTTGATCTTCTAAATTTTGAATTTGTGTCATTTTTGGTCTAATAAAGTTTAAGTAAATTAAATGATGTATTTCTGTGTATCTTATGTGACTACACATAACGGTTCACTATGGTCACTTTGGTTGTTTATATTTATAATTTGTGTCCCTTTAGTCTCTTACATTTTCCAAAAATACATTTCAAATGTGTTCACGTGAAGTGCACATGACAATATCTGTTATTCAATTTAAACCGTCATTTCTTATTGAAAAAAGTAATAAAAAATTGAATAATTAAAGGACTAAATTGATACATTTTAAAATATTGAGAATCAAACTGCATAATTTAAAAATATATTTTTCTATTTTTAGTAATATGAGTCTAAATTAGTTTGAAGATGAGTTTATTGGAATTTGGAAATTGTTTATGTATTTATTGTACTAAACTCGACCTTGACCAACCACTAGTTCTAATTATTTTGCACAAAATTGGTGGCCAGTCCAATTTGGGAGACGTTGAAGGATTTAAGTATAAGCCTTAAACTTATTTGACGTTAAGTACATTAGGTTTTCAATTTTTATGGGTTAAAGTACATTCCGTTTTTTATTACTGTTTTACCCATTTCAGCATTAATGGATCCTAGCAACTCTTCTTCATTATGTGAACTTTTTGGATCCTATTGGAACCAGGGTCATCAATAGTGAACAATTCTTGGAACAAACGTACTCGAGCCAAAGAATCAAGAACTTCCCCTAGCACCGTCCTAAAATAATCAGACCTGATTAATGAATAAAACATCCATAACACATAATAATTTTTCTTATGATTAAAACACAATCAAATAAAATATTTTGGTACAACATAAAAAAATAATATTATTAGCCTCTAGCTGCGATCTCCCTAGCTAGAATAACATTTTGGTAAACACAAATATCAGAATAAAATTCAAAACATTTTATGTGTAAATTAATTTTAAAAAATAATTAGGGTTTCGATAAAAAAATATCATACTAAAAATATCTGTGTTCGTTGGATTCTACCAATCTGCCATGGACGACCAATCTGCCATCGATGACCTCTCTGCCATGGACAATCTCTCCTAATCCATCTGCTAGGGCGGATCTGCAGGAATTCATCAAAATTTATCCTGAGGCATCGACCACTTCCCAATTCTTTTGCAACATTTATCCCTCACACAACGATCAATTCTTCCCAAATCTTCTTCAATTATCATCTTCTTCAGCCTCTCTACCATTAGCCTCGCTTCCATGGACAACCTCTCTGCCATGGAAGATTAGTCCTAATCCGCCCACTATGGCATAGGTCTATAAGTTTAACACTAGACCTCTCTCCAACAGATCTGTAAAGATCGTATTCTTCAACTTTTGATATGTTTGTCATCAACGATCTCTGTTTCTGCATCTTCGGCTAGTATTCACCAGTCACTCTATCTCACGCACACACATACACACACACACACAACCATACACTCAATTGTACACACAATCACTCTGTCTTCACACACACACACACACACACACACACACTCAATTGGGATCTATAAAGCGATAGATTGTGGCCTGTAAGTTGCTTTTGAGAGAAATTTGTAGCTTGCATCTTCATACTATGCCATGAATTTGGCGAGTGGCAGATTCATATTTATATGAATTTGCATTGAAAAATTATTTAGCTTGATCTTGTATTAGTTTGCTTCCAATATCTTTCATCGAGGAAGCTATATACTAATAGCTGAATCGACAATATAGGGGCCATCGACACAAGCTGCATATGAATCAGTAGTGCAAATATGCCATTGATTAGATTAGACTTCAAAATTGTCCATCGGATGAGAGCCCAAATGACTGGACTACTCTTATTGGTTATTTTGGATCTGTGAACTTCAAGGTATGCACAACTGAAAATTTATTGTTGTTTAGGACTTTTAAGTATGCCTGCATGTTTTGAATTATCCACCAGTGATCACCACTATAACTTGAAACTTGCTTTTAATTCACGTATGCAGAAAATGAGCAAAAGAAACAAGGAGAACCGAGCAAAACAGGACATGGGCCATATTGCCAGGACGAAGAGTTTCGCTTGAAGAAGTTATACGATAGTGTGAGTTGTTTTTTAAATGTCTATTGCACTTATGTGATTAATTATACACATGTGTACATGCATATTTATGTAAATGGTGTGGTGATCTGAATGAAGTTTCAATGGTGTTTTTATGCATATTTATATTAACTTGCTTTTCCTCGAGTTATGGATTTATTGTCAGGTTCTCAATGGTGTGTTTAGGGGGAAGAGGTATTGTTAAACAACCGGTTAAAGGAGGAGGTATTGGGTTCTTGTGTTTCTTTAGCTACAGTTGATGATAAATTGATTTGGCAGCTGACTTCATCTGGAAGTTTTTCTTTGAAATCTGCTTGGAATTTGATTCGTTCACAGGGTGATCTGAATGAAGTTTCTTCTTGTGTTTGGTAGACCATTACTTCTCCTAGTGCTTAATTTATTGGATGGAAAATTTGGAAAAGGGCTTGGTCTTTAGATTCCAATATCATGAAGATTGGTGTATCTGTTGTGAGTAGGTGTTGTATGTCTTGTAAGGATTTGGAGAATGAAACTCATTTGAATGTGTTTATGCCAGAGCTGTATGGGATAAATTTGCTCGGATTGTTTGTTTCAACTTATCCATAGAGCGACTCCTTTGGTAAGGTTTTTGCGTTTATGTAGAATTTTTAAAAGGAAGTCTCTAAGTCATGAGATTATGCGAAGTGTTGCCTTGGTTTTGTTTTGGCAAATTTGGAAGGAAAGATGCAGAAGGGTTTCTGGGGAGGGGTCTGTGCATTGTTATGCCATTTTTATGAAGATTCACAACATTCTTCGTTATCAAGTGAGGAATATAAAGCTGACAGTACAAGATGATGGTCTTGGTAAATCAATTTTAAAGTCTTTGCAAATTGTGGCTTCTGTTTCTATTTGGTTTAGATGTGTTTGGGTAAAATGGACAGCTCCTTCTGTTGGTATTATGAAACTGAACACTGATGGGGATGCTAAGAATAATTCGGGAATAGCTGGGGGTGGTGCTGTTTTGAGGAATGATAAAAGAAATGTGGTTTTAGCTAGCTCTTTCTTCTACAATGAATGTTCAAACAAGGCGGCTGAGTTCAGGGCATTGTATGATGGTCTTCATTTGATATGGCAGTATGATTTGTCATGTTACAGATTTGTTATTGAATGTGATTCGCTGGTGCTTGTGAATTCTATTCTGGGTTTGTGTGCATGTCCCTGACCTTTTCTGGATATTCTAAGGTAGATTAGAGAAATGTTAAGGAGTTTGGAGTATGACTTGGTTCATATTTTTCGAGAAGCTAATAATGTTGATTGTTTGGCTAATCAAGTTGTATTAATTAGAAGAACTACTGATTATTCAACTGATTTAAGATTATCTTGTGAAGTGAAGTTGACTTTGGCTCAAGACTTCCGGGGTTTGCTTTTTTTACGGTAGAGAAGGGAGGTAGTGCTTGATGACAAGAGTTAATGGTTGGATGTATGGTGTCTGAAACATGGTATATAGGATGGAATTAGTAGTCTGTTAGATTTTTTGGATGTGCTTTGCTTTGCTTGTTTGCCGCTTTGGTCTAGAGGGAGCTTTTGGAAGGAGTTGTTTAGTTGTTTTGGTTATTGTACATCTTTTGTTAGTTTTGAATAGGCTATGCCTTACTTGCTTCTTGTAATTCTGTTGGTTTTGTGGATAAATAAAATTTGTTTTGATTTAAAAAAAAAAGGTATATATATTGATTCATTAAACTATAACAGGTATGTGAAATTAAAAATATTTAAAAATAAATTCTTTCAAATATGCGATAGGTATTTTTTCTGTTCATTTTAATGTACTAGTTGATGTACATGTGCGTTGCACGTGAACTATTTTGAACATAAAATAATATATATACAAAATGTGGACCACTTTCCTCAATATTTACAATTTGAGTAAACATTTGATGTTTCTCCCATGATTGAAGNAAAAAAGCAAATTTTTTTTTTGGGTGGTTGGTTTAACAAAAGTATCGCAGTAACGAACTTTATTTAAGAAGTAAACTTCATGACCAAGTGGTTTTTAAGTTCTCAAATGAATGAGATAAGTTTTATGATTTCTATTATTACTTTTCCTAACTTATTAATATCAAGACCATATAATNCAATATTATCTTTATAAAACTTTACATTGAACGAAAAGAATAGTGTGCTTAGAAATTTTAAAATGTATTACAAAGACATTTAGAACCAAGTTACTTTTTATTTTTTTTGAGAGAGTAACAAAAAAGTCTTGAGAGTTGTAAAACTTGAAGCTAGAAAGACAATTAATTTTTCTTGGGAGTACGATCTATCTTCAACACCAAGAGAAATTAATTGCTTAATGCAAATCATGTATAAGTCTTATCATTTTTTACTCTGCTTTGAAATAACATGCAAAAATAAAAAAAATAAAAATTATAAAGCCTCCTTTTTGTTGAAGTCTCCAAATTGGATAGATTTGACAAGTAGTGAGAAATTTTTTTACTCCATCTATCAGAGTTTTTACTTATGATAGTCAATTTATATGTGAACGATCACGATAGACATCATTATTTGTTATTACCAAGAGCTACAGGAAAACATGATCCATTGTAAT